GAGGTTTCCCTTACTCATTTTAATTCTTGATTAGCGAGATTAGGAAGAGAAGAGAAGAGAAGAGAAGAGAAGAGAAGAGAAGAGAAGAGAAGAGAAGAGAAGAGAGGAAGGCAGGCAGGCAGGCAGGCAGGCTTGTGCTACAACAAATCCACATAAGTAATTACTAGGACATACTAGGAATTCTTACATAAGCAATCATCCTTTATTCCCCAGGATGACCACAGGAAGTCTTTCCTAGAAACTGCCTGTTTCCTTAATCAAACTCATGCTGTGAAAATCACTGCTCTTAAATGAAAGTCTTCTAAAAACTATTTTTCATTATAATACCTTCCTATACAGAAGTACTTTGCAATGATTTGTAGGAATACCCTTGTACATTTCTTCTTTTCCTTGTACATAGTATTCTAGATTGAAATGGCAGTTCAGTGCACTCTTATGAGGAGCAGCATTGATTCAGTCTTCTCTTCTTAAATGTTTAAGATTGAAAGTTACAAAATGTTATCTTCATCATTGCAAACAGATTTGTGCTGGCACAAAATTAATTTTAATACATCACAGATATCTTACCTCTGTCACTGTCATAGAGATATGCAAACTTGTTCCATTGATAATATTCAATTAAGCTCAGAAGTGCTCCCTTGAGGTCAGGTCTCATCTGAATGACAAAAGGGTGTGTACCATCTGTTGGAAAACTGGGTGTTATGAAGGAAACATGAAGAGTTCCACAAAATGATGTTATAGTATTTACAGACTTCTTGTCATAAAATCCAAAAATAGCAAAGACTCCTCTTGAAAACTGGGAGCAAACTGGAAGAAAAAGATAAAAACATATTTTAGTGCATTGATTTACAGTGTTTTATGTATACAAATATCTAGTTGATAAATATGAATCAGGATGAGATTAGCTAATAATTTCATCAACAGACTGAATCCATTCAAATAAGAGCTTGAACTAGTCCCCTGTATATTAATAAATAAATAAATGGTAAGTAAGGATCTTCCTAAGCATAACTGAAATTGGAATGCATTTTTAATATCAGTTTCATCAACAATAAACCTGAAAACGCAACTGATAGACTTTAAATCATTTAATTTTATTCAACCTGATAGCGAATTTTAAAACATATATATCATGGATTTGGGAAAAAATAATTTTTTTCCTATTTAATGATAAATAGAAAATATTTAAACTGATACATCACATAGTATTAAGTATGTGTTATATCAATATAATCAAGTATGGAATTGGTTGGGATCATTTAATAAATATTGGAAATAATAATCCTTTATGCAGAAGAATAAGAGAGTAAAACAGCTGTGAATGGTAGTATAAGACAGAGTCACATGTCTACCACATATCAGAGGAGGTCAGCAGTGGCCTATGATGTGACAGCTGAACTCACCCAATTTTACATTATGAGAGACATCTTTTTATTCCGTCTCCCTAGAATCTAAATTAAGATATAGGCTATACCCTATTGGCCATAGTTCATCATGCCATCTGGATCCAGTTACCTTCAGGAGAGGCCTCTCTTATAGTCTCCTACACAGAGATCAGAAGCTGTGGAGTCCATGCCCTGCCAGCGTTGCTGGGAAACTGTTAGCATTTCAGACCAAGCTAAATCCAAAAATGTGAGGGAATTTCTGGAAGCTTGGTATTCAGACAAGACACCCATCAACAGGCACATAGAGATA